TATGTTTTAAAATTTTACTTACTATTTCTTTAAGAAACATTTACTCAGCTGTTTTGCTAATTTTAAAATTGGGTTTTATTTACCATTGAAATGCAAGCAGTCTATCATTTTCTGGATACAAGTAAAGCTCCTTCTTAGATATATAACTTGAAAATATTTTCTTCTTTTCCAAGAGTTCCTTTATTTATTCTTTATTGTATTCATTGAAATACAAAAGTTTTAAAGTTAATAATAGTTCATTTTATTAGTTTATTTTAGTTGTTCTGTTACTTGAAGTTTTGCTGTATTTAGAAAACATTTTTTTTTGCTTAGCCCAAGGCCATGGAGACTGACTCTTTTATCTCTCAGATTTCTATAGTTTAAATTTGAGTTAAAACAACACTTGAAGTTAACTTTTGTGTGTGGTGTGAGGTAAGGGTCTAACTATATCCAGTACCATTTGTTGAAAAGACTGTTACTTCTCTCATTGAGTGATGTTGTCACGCTAGGCAAAAAATGAGTCAGCCAAAGTCATGAGGGTTTAATTCTAGACTCTTGATTTCTTTTTTTTTTTTTTCTTTTAAATTGGGGTTAGAACTCTGGGTCAATTCTTAGGTCAATTCTAGGTCATTTATCTACATACCTATAATTAGATCAATATCCCATGTCTTGATTAGTGTAGTTATATAGGAGTCCTCCAATTTTATTCTTCCTTTTTAAGTGTGTTTGTGGTATTCAGGGTCTCTTGAAATTCCAGTAGAACTTAAATATTCATTTTTCTATTTCTAATTCCAATAGAACTTAAATATTCATCTTTCTTTCCTTCTTTCTTTCTTCTTTCTTTGTTTTGGTCGGTTGTAAGGCTTGAACTCTGGGGTTGTCCCTAAGCTCTTTAGCTCAAGCTGAGCACTCTACCACTTGAGCCACAGTGCCACTTCCGGTTTTCTGGTGGTTAATTGGAGATAAGTCTCATAGGCTTTGCTGCCCGAACTGCAGTCCTCAGATCTCAGCCACCTGAGTAGCAAGGATTACAGGTACCAGCCAGCCACTGGTACCCAGGTTTTTTGTGTGTTTTTAAATCAACAGGTTCATTAATGTTGAGTCTGCAGATTAGTTTAGGTAATGTTGCTATTGTAAAAATATTGAATCTCCAAGTCCATGAATGTGTCCTTATTTAGGGATCCTCCAACTTTTTGAAACAACATTTTATACACTTACAGTTTTTTGTTAAATTTATACTTAGATTTTATTTTTGATGCTGTTGTGGAGGTAATTATTTTCTTAATTTTGTTTTCAGAGACCTCATCCATAGATTGTAGAATTTCTTTTGTATCTGGAATTGTGACAACTTGCTGAACATGCTTAATTGCAATGTTTTTATTTTTAAAATTTTTGATTATGATCATTAAGTAGTTGCACAAAGGAATTGACATGCTACGAAGCACTTTATGGAGACAATGCATGTTGATCAATGTCACCCCTCTCAACCTTACCCAACCCTTCCCTCACTCTTCTTAATTTTGTAGGGTATACGTTGGTTTCTTGTCTACACATTCCCTCTCTTCTCTTCATGCATCTACCTTTTTTCCCTTGGCCCACCTCATCCCCTTTCAACTACCCTCTTCCTAGTGTTTTATTTTACTGAACTTTGCTTTTGGCTTTCTAAGGAATTTCATAATTTGAGATCTCCCTTGAATCCACTATATTTCAGTTAATACATTTGTATACATTTACATATCATCCAATGTATTTATTTACAAGCTGAAGATTACAAACTAGGATAGAGTAAAGCCACCAGTGCTACCAAGTTTATCGCAACACCATTCATTATAGTTAAAGTATGGAATTAGCCCAGATGCCCCTCAATAGATGAATGGATGTGTGTATATACGCAATGGAATTTTACTCATTCATTAGAAACAATGGTATTCTACCATATGTAAAGAAATGGAAAGTAAGTCATGCCCAGAGAGACAAGGGATCCGTGTTTTCCCTTATATGGGGAAGCCAGGGTAGCCTACAAGCTCATGAGTAATTAAATGTTTTTCTTTTCTTCATGCTTTCTACTGACAAGATCACATCATCTGCAAATTATTATACTTGCTAGTTTATCATCTCGCTGTTCTTTTCTTCATCTGCTTCTTACCTAATTGCCCTTGTTAGAACCTCCAGGACAAAGTTAAACAGAAATGACGAAAGCAGATTTCCTGTCTTGTTCTTGATCTCAGAGGAAAAGTACAAAGTCCTTCAGCTTTATGTGTGCTATTCACTGAAGGAATTTTTTTATAGATCACTTATGTTTTTATTAGATTGATGAATTTACTATTCCTAGTTTGTTGATTGCTTTTATCATGAGAATATATTGGATTTTAAAAAATGCCTTTCATATGGTTTTTGTTTTCTCCATTAATATGATGTACCGTATTCCTGGAAGAAATTCTATTTGCTTATGTATGCTAGTTTATACATTGTTACTCACTTTGATGGTATTCTATTGAGCATTTTTATGTCTGTATTCATCAGGAATATTAACCTATGGTTTACCTTGTTTGTGATTTTTTTTCTGGTTTTGGTATCTTTAAGACTGCATTCATGAGACCAATTGTAAAGTATTCTCTTCTGTTTTTCTGGATTGACATTCATTCTTTGAATATTTGATAGAATTTGCTAGTGAAAGAATCTAATCCTGTGCTTTGCTTTGTGAAAAAATTATTAGTTACTATAAGGTAACTAATTGTTAGTAGATGGTAACTAATCTCTTGACATAAAAACCAATTCAAACTTGTGATTTTCTTTGTTTTTCAAAGCATTCCTTTACAGTTCATTTATTTCTTTAAGGTCAATGACATGCTCTCATTCCTCAAGGATTTTTGTTGCTCTTGTTTCTTGGTTATTACAATTAAAGATTGTTAATTTTGTCAATCATTTTGAAGAATTACTTTTTGGCTCCAAAGCTTTTCTTTCAGTTTTCTACTTTATGTTATTTAATGTTGCTTGATTTGTTATTATTTCCTCCTTTTGTCATGACATTAGTTCACTCTACTCTTTTTCTAGTTTTTTTCTTAATTAGATGAGAAGGTTAATGAGTTGAGTTTTTTCCCCTGGAGGTGTTTATAGCTATCTATTTCCTGTGGAGCTCTGCTTTCACTTACCCCAGAGGTTTCAGTGTGTTAAACTTTTGCTTTTGTTCACTTCAAGATGTTTTCTACTTTCCCCTGTGATTTCTTTCCTGACGTATTGTTTATTTTGGAAGGTCTTGATTTTTACATGTTGGTGAATGTTGTTCCTCAGTTTCCTTTCTGTCATTAATTTCTGATTTAATTTCATTGTGGTTTGGAAAGGTATTCCATATTATTCAGTCCCTTTAAGTTTATGTAAGGCCGGTCATACAGTTTTTCTTGGAGAATGTTTCACATACACTTGAGAATCAGGCCTCTTCTATGGTTGTTGGGTAGCATATTCTAAAGATGTCTGTTAGGGCCAGTTGGCTGATAGTGTTGTTCAACTTCTTCATTTTCTTATGTATCTTCTAGCTTTTCTACTAAGAGTTGAAAGTGTAGTTTAGAAGCCTCTAACTTGCCTTGTTGAATTGTCTGTTTCTTTCAGCTCTGCCAGTTTTGTTTCATGTATTTTAGGGCGATGTTTATATATATATATGTTTATCAATCTATTGATATCTATATAGATAGTTATAGATCCATCTATCTTTCTGGATATCTATCTAGGTAGATCTATCTATAGATACAGATATATGACCTAGATAGATATCCGGTCATAATTTTTTTTTGGGGGTCCGGACGTGGGGTCTGAACTCTGGGCCTGGGTGCTGTCCCTCAGCTCTTCAGTTCAAGGCTAGTACTCTACCACTTGAGCCACAGCACCACTTCTGGCTTTTTTCTGCTTATGTGGTACTGAGGAATCAAACCCAGGGCCTCATGCATGCGAGGCAAGCACTCTACCACTGAGCCAACTTCCCAGCCCCCCGTCATAATTTTTATATCTTATTATGAATTGATCTTTTATCATTTCAAAAGTCCTTCTTTGTCTCTAGTAACAGTTTTGTTTTAAAATAGATTCAGTTTCTCTTTTGCTTCCTCTTTGTTTAATATCTTGTTTTGGTTCTTTTACTTTTTGACCTATTTGGGTCTGGTGAATGGTTCCTATTATACCACCTAAGATTGGGAATTCCAAATATATAATCATCGTTGTCATTATTATCAGACCTTTTTTGTTTTCTGAACCTTTTCTTGGTCTCTGTAAACTGTAAGTGATAAGTACGCTATAGTGATCAGTACAGTGTAGTGAAGAATGGAAAGTGTGGAAATTATTTTCTGGGTTGCAGTACTGACTAGAACCATATAAATGTGGATGATTCGTGGAAGAGTGGAGATCAGATCTGATGTTTGAGTCTTCCTTAAGTGATGGTATTTCCCACAAGTTTTCCACAACAACTGCATTGTTTGATTACATGTGCTGTAGGTTGTTTTACAAATCCAGGTTCTTTCTTCTGACTAGTGAGGATCAATCATGCAATTGTCACTCTGTGCCCCAGAATATCTGACTTCTTAGCTTCCGCCTTCCCTGAGCACCTCTGGAAAGGAAATAGGCCACAACAGGAGAGCTGGAATGTTTCTGCTCAGGAGATCTTCGTGTCACTGGCTCTTTTCAGAAAACAGAAGAGATTAAGCCATGTCTGTGCCACAGGGCTGAGCTGCTTTTCCTCTTGGCACGTTTGAAGAATTTCTCAATACCCTCCCTCCTCAACCCTCCCAGCACCCCCCCCCTCCAACCTTTACACCTTCCCAACATTAGGGAAAGGCAGGAAGTTTTCCCCGTGGGTTTTGCTTTATGACGACATGACCTGCTGGGGCAGATTAATGAATGGGGGAAAACCCCACAAGAGACACGCCTTCTGGTGTGCATTCCCAATATTTTGCTATAAGTACGACTGCTAGAAGAACAGGACAGCACTCTCAGGACCTTGAGTACCAGTACTGAGCAGGTCTAACTTGGAGCTGAACATGGTGAGATGCAGTAGCCAGAGTCTGGTCCTGATTGCCTTCGCTTCAGTGTTGCTATTCCAGCTTTTCAGTGGAGCAGAAGGTAAGCGTTAGCCTTCATGCTAGCACAGGAGGAGTGATCATTTTCCTCTTTCTCCAAACCTTGAGCTCATCCGAGGGTCCCCAATGCTGGAAGCCTCAGGAAATGTTTGAGAGATAGTGGCGGGGGTAGTGAGTGGAGAAGGGAGAGGTTTCTCCTGTCCATCACCCATCATCTCTGCTGTGCCTTCCAGGACATTTGCTGGGTGGTGGGCTGTCAGAGGCCCCCTCATCTTGGCTATTTTTGCATTTCTGGGAGTGGTGTAGCTCTGCTTAACACTACTAAGATAGGAAAGGCTTCGGAAGTGTAGGGAAAATTTCCACTTCCCTCAGCCTCTTCACCTCACAGCTAAATTATGTCAGTGAAGCTCGAAACTTGTCCTTCTGATAGAGATTACGGTGCCTGATTCCTTTTATCTTCCCAAGACCCTGGGGACAATGCTCTCTAACTCTGAGATAACATCTATTCCAGACCTTACAAGCAGGTTGTAGTTTAACTCAGGGGAGTGTCCAAAGGTGGCTTTGTGACTGAGAGAGGTCATGACTTCTTATGACAGGTGCATGTTGAAAAGGCATGCTGCAATTTCTGAAACACAGTTTAAAGCTCTCATCAACTAACATTACATTTTCTAAGTGTTTATAGCTCTGGAGAAAGAAAGAATACATTTTCTTTGTAACTTCTTTGTGGTTTCTATAAATTATATTTTCTTCCACCATCTCACTTATTACTCTGTAGCCAGTGAACTGATTAGCCTATGTTGATTTCTTCTTGCTTTCTGCACCTGGAAATCTTACTTAGAAAGTTTTATTTTTTAATGTTTTAATTTTATTGTTTGAATTACTGCGATAAGCTGAAAGGAAATAGTTTGTTTCGTACTAAAGATGCTCTGCCCTCCAGAAGTCATTGATTTCTACACCATAAGATTGAACCAAAATGTCTCAACATACCATCACAAAGGACATCAAAAAACTGTGTGAAATTGGATCTCTAAGATCCAAAGCAAGTTTCAAAGACATTAAAATTCTTCTGCTAAAGAGATTATATGCCATATTAATCAGATCCATTAGGTTGTGTGTGTGTGTGTGTGTGTGTGTGTGTGTGCATGCGTGTGTGTGTGTGCCAGTCCTAGGGCTTGAACTCAGGATCTGGGCACTGTCCCTGAGCGTTTATGCTCAAGGATAGCACTTTGCCACTTGAGCCGTAGCTCCCCTTTCTGCTTTGTATAGCTGCCTTTAACGTTGGAGATAGGAGTCTCACAGACTTTCCTGCTCAAGTTGACTTTGAACCATGATCCTCAGATCTCAGCCTCTTGAATAGCTAGATTACAGGTGTGAGCCACTGGCTTCTTTCTTTCTTTTTACAACAACTTTAGGTAGTTGCATAATACCAATTGCTGGAGAACCTCATTCATTCATAAATGTTTTTTTATTTCCTTTTTAGCGGCAAGTAACTTTGACTGCTGTCTACAATATACGAAGTACCCCCTGTCTTTTAGGCTTATTGTGGGCTTCACACAGCAGTTGGCTGATGAGGCTTGTGACATCAATGCCATCATGTAAGTTCTTTATTGATTTTAATTCTATCAAGAATTTAAGATATCCAACTCTTTGCTTTGGGGGGAAATTTAAGAAAAACGATAGTTAGATTATCAAAGATAGCTTTATCTAACTCCCACCTCAAATTTGAATGGCTTTATTTCATTCCTAGCTCAAAGTTTACTTTAGATAAGACTGAAATAAGACAAAAGCTTAGGTTTTTAAGAAGAATATGGTGTAGGGTAGAAAAACTTACAAGCTCTTAATATGGAACATTATAGAAGGCATACATCTTGAGCAACTGAAAAATAGTTGTAGTTGTAAGTAAAACTCTCAAGTTAATTGTATTGTCATGTATAAGATTTTTGTTTTGTATAAGGCACTGTGTTTTGGAATTATGTAGTTATCGCTCAGATCCATACTAATTTTATGCAAAAGCCAGAAGTGAAATTAACTAACAATCCTAGTCATTATCTCCCTTCCATTGTCCAGTTATGGCTACAGAGCGGCAACAGCCAAGGAAACATTTTTCCTTTATTGTATCAAGCTTGACCATCAATCAGTATGAGCTGTTAGTTCATCACATCTTTGTAGCACAACTGCTTTGCATGCAGCACAATCAATGGGAACAGAAAATTTCTACTGAATATTTACCAAAAACGAAAGTTAAAGTTTAACACCCATCAACATTTTTGTGTTTTACAGCTTTCACACAAAAAGGAGATTGGTGTGTGCAGATCCAAAGCAGCCTTGGGTGAAGAAGGCTGTCCGTATCCTTAGGTATATATCACTGAAAGTCAACCTCTTTTCTCCAATCAGCAGGGAATGATGAGCATGAGGAGAGTGGGTCACAGGGCACCAGGAAGTCTGCAGCCTAAGTACTGTGATATTTTCAAGGGGAACTTTGGGTTTGACCATGTTTTGCCCTTGTAGAATATATCACCATCATCATCACCATCATCATTGATTAGTGTTTTATTTTCGCCTGGTGTACGAGATCCTCCTGGGCATTTGGTAGTCACAAGATACTTAATTCTTTGTACAAAGATGCACCTATTTATCTAATTTATGAACAGCCTTCCATGTGGTTGTTTGTTGAACATTGAACAATAATCACTAGTTAAGTAGAGCTCCAGGGTTCCGATTGATACTGAGGATAACAGAGAGTAAAATTTTATCACTAGATGGCACCTAACCCCAATGGGCAGTCATAGACACTTGGAAATACAAGATAAGTGTTCCCATCATCTTTCTGTCATCTAGTATCTTAGTTATGTTGGAAAAGGTCATTTCTCTCTACCCCTCAGTTTTTGCCTATGGAATCTTCGGTGAGATTAAGGTAGCAAAGTCATGTCTATCAGGCAGTCTCTTTCTTCACTTAGCCTCTTCATTTTTTTGTCTTTACAGCCAAAGAGTCAAGAAGATGTGAGAAAAAACATCTGCTGTTCTGGGACGGAATTGGATAGAGCCCAAGGACAGGAAGACCACGCCGGGGGTGTAGAGGCTTAGTTTCAGCTCTTTCTGCCCTTATCTGTGCCTGGATGGGCTTGTCCAGTTTTTGAGGTTGATCATATTGCATCATAGGGTGCTTTGTTAAAGCATCATGTTAGAGTCAAGCTGTATTTTATGTAAGTTATTTATAATGTAGGTTTGCTATGGTTAGCTATTTAACACTGATTTCCTATAAGCTTTGTGGCTTCGTGAAATGTAACGTTACATTTGGGTAAATAAGATTCTATGGCCTTCTTCAAAGCAATAAGCTATTTTTTTAAACTATTTAACTTGCTTCTGTGTATGTGACTTTTGTTTCCTAAAGTGTTGTGATAAGCTTATGAGATGAAAAATTATCCTAAAGATAAATATTGAAAATAAAAGAAAGCAAAAAAAAAACCCTACTTGCTGAGTCAGATGTAATTTTTGTGATAGGTGTTGAATGCTTTCTGAAGAATAGCAGTCCTCATTGAGTTCTGCCTGGCTATTCTCGTTACTCCTGTCCCTTATCTTCCCGGACTTGATTCTTGAATTGTAACGTCCTTTATAAAATCAAAGTCACCCAAGCATACAGTGATATAAAAAAGTATAAGGTGTGACTATAGGAATAAGTAAATAGTTATAAAATATTTGGAGAAATCATTTATTCCATCGTCCTATTACCAGACATAATGCTAGGGAAAGTCATATCAAGACCTCCTGAATCTTTAAGCCATTTCCAAAAGGAAAATAACTATGTAAATGGATTGGCTTGGTAATCAGAGGGAAGACCCAGAAATAAGATAAAGGATCTTGAACCAGTGCAGTTTTCATGTTTATTCCCAGTGCTCACAGAATGCTTCAGCAGGACCTTGGGCTTGGTCTGCCTCCGTTTCTACAGACCATGAAGTATCACTGCAGACAGGCCTGCTGACAAAATGAAACAAACCCAGATACCTCCATTTGCATAAGCAGGGTAGAAGTTGGTCATTCGATGAACAGCCATAAATGAGTAATGGCACAAGATTCTGTAGATTCATCAGGGAAAGCATGCTCGACATCCTGTTTGTTTCTTCAGCAGACATAGGTTTAGTTTTATTATGTGTCAGGCACTATGCCAGATGCTTGAAGGATTAAGACTCGATAGCTTGCTCACAGATAATTAGGGTTAAGCAAGAGGGCAAGGAGGAGGAAGGACTGGCAAGCACCCCAGAGATTACAGCACACTGTGGCAAACTCTTGAATGAAGGGAATCCTGGCATGCAGTGGAGATCACTAGGGAGGACTTCCGGAGGAGTCAAATACTCAGTTTACTCATCTGAAAACAGCAAATATTCTGTGTTCTTGAAGTGGTTTCACATGGCTCAGGCCATTGTCTAAACTGAGGTATGACGGACTCGCGGGAGGGAGTCTAATTGGAGAAGGGGCAGTGGGGAGTGTCTGGAAATATCCAGGAGCATGTTTTACTTTCCACAGTATCTTAAGCTGAGGTATTAGAGGTATTCAGTAGGCAGAGATCAGAGGTACTAAATCTGCTGGAATGCATAGGGTAGTTCTGTACAATGGAGAATCGTCCTACCCCAGAGAGCAACCATGCCATCCCCGGACAATGGAGAATCGTCCTACCCCAGAGAGCAACCATGCCATCCCCGGACAATGGAGAATCGTCCTACCCCAGAGAGCAACCATGCCATCCCCGGACAATGGAGAATCGTCCTACCCCAGAGAGCAACCATGCCATCCCCGGACAATGGAGAATCGTCCTACCCCAGAGAGCAACCATGCCATCCCCGGATTGTGTGTGGGCAACGGAGGAGGTAGGGGAGCAGCTGCAGATTAAGTGGAAATGTTCCTTTAATTAAGTATAGTGGTTTGACACTTGAGCATGTAATTCTGAAGAACCCTTGCAAATACCAAAGCAGGTGTGATGTCTGCATCCCACAGAAAAGGGAAGGCAGGCGAAGGGGAAACAGAGGTACCAACTAGAATTGGAGAAACCTCACTTATCAGCCAAGGCTGAAGGAAAGGTAGCGAAGAGATGGCTTTGTGAATTCTGAGGCTGCTGACGTGTCATCAGTCACCCTTTCTCGGAAAATCACAGCCAAACAAAACTGCTATCAGGAGGCAGAAATCTGGCTTAGCGTGGGAGCCTCCACGAGGGGAAGTTTTGCAGAGTTGGAAAAAGAACATGTTTTTGTGGTAGAATCTGTGGGGATAAGGAAGACCTCTCACCGTTAGGTAAGTTTCTGTAGACTGAAAACTCCAGTCCAGAATGACATGGTATTCATCAGCCAGCTCCCAACTGTCAAGCACACATCAGAGTCACACGGGTAGATGGACGGGGTAAGACACTTACAGAGTCATATTGGAACCACAGCACTGGTTTGTTAAGCTCTGGTGCCTCATGTAGAGCCTCGCTGTGTCATTGGAATACATAATGCATCCGTTTTACTGGAGTAAACATGCTCAGATTAGCGATGATGCTGTAAATTCGATAACTCGTTTGCTTTTATTTTGGAAAATATACATCTCCCTATTTAGTTTTTTAAAATATAAATACCCCTTTTATTGCGAAGGCATGCGAGATAACAGAAGCTGTTTCAGAGGGGTGGGGTAGGAAATGGTTTTTAGGTGCGACAACCAGGCCCAGAGAATAGAAAGTGACCTGGGACAAAGTTTCTCGGAGGAAGCAGGTGTGATACCTGTCAGTCTTCTCTCTGCTATGAGTCTAACCTGTCTGGTTTTTAACTTAGGCATACTTTACATGCACAGATGCATATGTTATGGATACAGCTTGGTTCACAGTTACATATGAACATGGGTAGCAACTCTGTCCCCTTAAAGATAGTAAATGTTTTCTGCATACCAGAAACCTCCTTCCTGCCTTTGTCCATCTGTGCATTGCCTATTTGACAGTGAGTTAGCTTGCTTCTTCTTGATTTTATATGCATGGATGTGCATAGAATATGCCCTTTGGTATCTGCCTTATTTTAATAGAGTCTACTGTCCTTTAATTTGTTTTAACTATGTGTGTTGTTTATGAGCTCATGTTGATGCTTAGATTCCAGCAGTAGTGCCAGTGAGTGAGAGAGATAAAGCCCCATCAGACCTCTTTCAGTCCTTTCGATCTGTACAGTGTTCCTGAGAAATCAGAAAACCCCTAATTTATGATCAGAGTCGTCTCATCTCCCAGAATCACTATGTGATGGCCTGAATGTTTTTGAGCTCTCCAGTGACGTTTCCCAAAAGTCTCTTGAAAGCCCAACCATGTCTGGCCATAGTAGTATCCCCTGTATGTGATTCACTTGCTGTATTCTTACAACCGTCTCTCAGTTCTGCAGAGCTTCCCATGCATGCCAGCATCCACTGAGAGATAAAGGAACATAAGGAGGGGCGGTGATCTTTGGCATGTGGTAGGCCATTGATGACATCAGGTCACCAGGTGTTAGAATCCCAGTGATGGTGGGTTGAAGTATGAATGACAACAAGTGGTTTGGCAATGAAGGTAGGAGGGGACAAAACATAGAGAATAAGGAGAGAAAGATGGAGACAGACAGACAGAAAGGTGTATATACATACTACATAAGAATGGATGGATGGATGGATGATGGATGGATGGATGGATGGATGGGCAGACATGTAAATTATTTTTCTGGGTCAGAGGGAAGCTTGATGGGGAGACGAGCCCACAGTAGGAAAAGCATTGTGCTGCAAAGTTGAGTATAAACTCATGTCAGAAATAGGAGACTAAAAAGTTTCAAGGCGTTTTTGTTTTAAATGTCAGCCAGATGGTAAGAGAATCCACATGCTCCAAAACCATTGCTGGGAGAGACGTGGGGACGGGGAAAGGCCAGCAGAGACACAGGAGGGGGTTCCCACCGCTGGCGCTGCTGGGAGAGGAGGGGGAGGATCCCTTTGTCTGCAGAAGAGCCACAGGAGGCCGTGTTCCGGGCATAGGCACAAGTCCTAGAGGAGGCAGGAAGATGGAGGAGGAGATGAAAAGGCAGGAGAGCTGCTTTGTAATGGAAAAGGGCTGTCAGAGAAGGACCCAAGAAGACAGCAATGCAGGTTTGAGTGGAAGCATAAAACAGACATTGTGGAATGCATGATTTTGTTGGCAATTATGCCATCACTGATATGTAAAGTGTAATGCATTTAAACATACAGTTGGCAACCTTGCTGGTATACGATCTCATTTAAACACAAAACAACACTGCCTTTGTTTTTGGATTAAAGAAACTGAGACCGAAAGGCATTAAAATGGAACCAACCCAGATGGCCCTCAGTAGATGAATGGATCAAGAAAATGTGGTATATATACACATATATATTCTATGCCTCCATCAGAAAGAATAACATTGCCCTATTTGTTAGGAAATGGAAAGACTTGGAAAAAATTATATTAAGTGAAGTAAGCCAGGCCCAAAGAAACATAGGTCCCATGGTTTCCCTTATTTGCAATAACTAGTATATGTCTGAGTCAAGCAGACAAGGTCACATAAGTTGATGTTAGGTGAAATGAATCCCAAAATAAAGATTCAAATGTTTTTTCTTTGATGAGATTTTTTCTAACATATTTATAAGATGATTTCTTTGTTTCTTTATATGTCCCTTCCCCACAGTATAACCCCTGCTTTCACTGTATTTGATGTTGGTATAATTTGTGGAGGGGAAGGGGAAAAACAAATCGTTTAACTAGGGATACAGGTGGACCCATTGCAACAATGAGACATACAAGTCGTTATGTCGAAAAACGAACTTTACAACTTTGGCAGGGGTGGGGGTGGGTGGGAGATGAGAAGGGATGGGAAGGGTAAACAAAGGAGGAGGCTACAATGCTTGATAAGAAATGTACTCATTGTCTTGCCCATGTAATTGTAAACCCTCTGTATGGTATAGAACTTATAGAAGGCCATCCAGTCTTTAGTGGTACCATGGAATTAGCTGATCTCCAGGCAACCACCAGGCCTCTGATGGGAGAAGCCTTGTGCTCTCCAGAGCTCCTGATGCGGACTCTGTGGTATTTGTGGTCATGTGTATGCTGTGTGTATTATAAAAAGTATGAAAAATTTTATAATTTTTTACTTTCATATTACAGTCTCTTTAACTAGATATATATTGATTGTACACAATACTGGGTTTCACTTTGATATTTCTTACATGTATATAATATGCTTTGATCATACCTACCATCCACTTCCCTCATAACCTCTTGTCTCCTTCCTCTTCCAAAATAGTCCCCCTTCTACTTTCATGTCTTAAAAAATCTTGGTTTGGGGCTAGGAAGGTGGCTCAGTGGTAGAGTGCTTGCCTTGCATGCATGAGGCCCTGGTTTGATTCCTCAG